TGCCCCAGCTGTTCCAGCCGGATCCCTAGATCTGCTGATGTTTTTGCGTCTCAGATGATTTTGCAGGGAATGGCGAGGATTGTTTTAAGGGAGGAAGTTTTGTACCACTGCTCCTGAGACAATAGGCCAGTCAATTTTCAGAAGCATATTTAACAGATGAACACATTGTGGTCACCTCTAGCATTGGGTTGCGAGATCACAGAGGCAGACAAGTTGGGGGGAGACATGTAAGGAAACATTGCACCAAGGCTTGCCGGGCGAGCCATTCGCATTCCTGCCTGCCAGCCACGACCTAAAAGCTCAGATAAAAGCTCAGATTTGTGTGTGTTGGGGCAACAGGTCATGAATTGAGTGTTTGTGTCATCGCATGGGAGTGACACTTGTTTAGGCTATCTTCCTGCAGCCTTTTTTGTCGCCTGCTGTGCTTTCGCGGTCCTTGCCGTCCTTGCTGTCCCTGTTGTCCTTGAAGATGGCCTGGTGCACTGTGGGCTACCACGCTGTTGAGGAGAGCATCTATGAGGGCTTGGTCGAAAAAGATTGCTCAGGTGTGTGGTTGACGCAGATCAAGCCCATGCAGTGGCACCACACCCCTTTGGCAGCCATTTCCCAGACCAAGAAATCAACTGCTCGCAAGCTTGGGGCTGCTTTGTCCAACACTCTGTCTGGAGAGAGAGGATCCGGAACCAAACCCGGAAAGTCTCGCTCCCACGTGCAGGCACAAGTTGCCTTGGCAATGGAACGCCCCAACTACATCGTGTTCAGCCTGAAGACGAAAGAGAACATTGCTGACATGTGTGGCAAGAAAATTCTTCATCCATTGCCCGAAGGCCTTGGTTTCGAGATGACCAAACCCTTTGACTTGTTTGAGCCATTGCTGCTGCCTGGCGAGTGGTGCCTTGAGTTTTCGAGCCTTGGTTTGCGTAAAGAATTTGAGTCCTGCAACTTCAACACCTTTCTGATTATTGCAACCAGCTTGTTTGTTCACTCCCAGCTCCTTTGCTGTTTATTCACTACCTGGCCCAGTTGTATGGATAGCTGATGACCCTTACCTGAGAGTTTGAGTTGTCATGTTTTTGCTTGTGCTTCACTCGTTCCTTTCTTGAAGGCCCATGACAATCCAGCCTACGCTCCTCGAGTCCGGCAAGGGTGTGTGGGATGGCACAGCTTTCTGGTATTCAGATGCCTCCGAGTATGTCCCTGCCAACTCAAAACTGCCACTCCAAGCATTCTCTCCACGGCCAAAGCCCTTTGCCTACTACATTGCCTTGCCAGCTGCAGATTCAGGGACGCCTTTACAGCATGCTTTGAACACTGTGCGGGCAACACCCCTTTTGAAGCTGCTCATCCTCAATGAGCCAAGTGATGCAATGCGCAAGCACCTGTTCTCATTCCAGGAACATCCAGAAGGCTGTCAAGGCTTCATTCCTGTGACTGCAAGCCCATCCACGGCTATGACATTAGCCTTCTTTGCTTTCAAGCCAGACGCAGAGAATGACTTTCAATCCAAGCAGCTCCAATTGCACAAGCTCCAGACCGATTCTTTGCCGGGAGGGAACGCTCCCCACCAGCATGTGCTGTGCTCGTTCTGGATGGTCAACAGCGAAACCATTGCCAAGCAGATTGAAGAAGGCAAGGCCTCTTTGCAGACACAGTCCTGGCAGATGACTGTCAGCCAAACAGCAGAATGGAAGCACCATGCCACCACAGTCATCGCCCACAAAAAGGCACGCCTCGAAAATCGTAAGCGCAGGCTGACAGATGAGGCGAGCTCTTTGGAGAGTGATTTGCAAAGTCTCAAGATGCAATTGAACGTGGTGTCTGAACAGCTGATCAAGATTGAGAAGAATGAGACACAGGATCCTTTCACTCCAGAAACAGAGCATGACAGCACAGTTTTGGCAGAAGAGGCGAGCTGAGTAGCCCTGCTTGTTGCCTCTCAGCCACAGGGCTTTGAGCAGAAGTGTGGCCAAGGGCCATGACAACTTTTTTGGCAGCAGTTCATTGTTGAACACCGGCATTAAAAATCGAGCTTGAAGCTTCCTGCTACTGTAGTAGTTGTTGCTGATTAGCTGCGCAAACAGGGCTGAACTTCGTTGCATTAAACCTATTCTTGTATCCACTTCACTTTCACTTCATTGCATTGAACCTATTCTTGTATTCACTTCACTTGGCTCCAGCCCCATTGCGCCCAGCTGCCCCAGCTTTCCCAGCTGCTCCAGCTGTCCCAGATGTCAGCTCCAACTGTGCCAGCTGATCTGGTCAGATTCTCAGACTCCTGGTCCTGACGCAAGCCCAAAAAAAAGTTTGGGGTGAAATTACTTCATAAGGCAAGTCACGCAGCAGTGTTCCAAGGATGACGCGCGTAGCAAGATCGACGAGATCATCTCATGGGCCTTCTCCCCAGCTCTTCAAACATTGATAGGCGGCTTTCCTTGAAATGCTTTCTCTCCAGCATATTGAATGAGGGAGTGCCCAAGTTGCTGTTTCCAATACAAGGTCAAAGCTGAGCTGCCCAAGAAGCTCCCGGCAGCCGAAAAGATGCACTTGACCCCGCCGCTGGACATTGAGACTGATGTCAAGGAAAAGGGTGCATCGGGCTACAAGGCCCTGTTGCCAGCAGAGCGTCCAATTTAGACATGAACTTCATGCCAATTCATCTAGAGAGTTAAAAATTGTAAGAATCGGACAATATTGTCTCTTAGAAACAACGTGCCACATTGCATTGCCCACCAAGTATTCCTTTCAAGTCATAGCCTTTGGCTGCAGGCAGCTTGGTGCCTTGAGAGCTACAAATCCGCCATCGAATCATCAGGCCTCTATGAGGCCAATGGCCTGGCACTGTGGCTGCAGACAGGGGTCTTCGCCAAAGGTGGCCAAGACCCTGACCCTGGAAGCATCAGCTGGGGTGCCTTGAGCAAGTTCAAGACGGATTTTTTTTCCAAGGAGGCAGCTGCGAAGATGAAAGTCAGGCGGGGCGTCGGAAAGGTGCTCCGCAGCAAAGATCGCTTGCTGTGGCCGATCACCATGGTGACCCTTTGTGACAATGTGAGCGCAAGGGAGAAGTATGCGCAGGACGGAGGTTTTGCTCTGGCCAGCGCGCACTTCATTCTGTGGGCCTGGTACCTGGCCTGCTTTGAGGCATTAAAGGCAAGTGAGCCTAGCCCTGATTGAATCCTGAGCAATCAGTTTTT